GACCAAAAAAAAAAAAAAAGAAAAGAAAAGAAAAAGAAAAGAGAAGGGCTTTGTGCTAAACATTTAGTGATGGTTAAGTCACAACCACCTTGTAAAAACCCTGGCCAGGGCTGGGAAGGTGGCTCAGTGGCAGAGCGCTTGCCTTGCATGCATGAGGCCCTGGGTTCGATTCCTCAGCACCATATAAGCAAAAAGAAAAAAGCTGGAAGTGACACTGTGGCTTAAGTGGTAAAGCGCTAGCTTTGAGCTGAAGAGCTGAGGGACAGTGCCCAGGCCCAGAGTTCAGGCCCCACGACCGGACCCAAAACAAAAACAAAAACAAAACCTGGCCATTAAGAGCCTCTGTTTCCCCATTGTTAACTTAAATGAGATGATTTCCTCATAGACAGCATTCTAGGACAGACCAAATTTTAGTGGCCAGCTTTTTTCCTCTTCTATTTATTTATTCATTTAGTGCATGTCTTAGGGCTTGGGGCCTGGACTCTGTCCCTGAGCTTTTGTGCTCAAGACTAGTGCTCTACCACTGGAGCCACAGCTCTCCTACTGACTCTGTGTGTGTGTGTGTGTGTGTGTGTGTGTGTGTGTGGTTTTGCACCATAATCCTCAGATCTCTGTTTCCTGAGAAGCTAGGATTACAGACGTGAGCCATCGACACTCACTCAGCTATTTATTTTTGAGATGAAGGATTTACTCTGTTACCCAGACTGACCTCCATCTCTTGAACATATGCTATCCTCCCTTAGCCTCCTGAATGCTGGGACAATGGTGTAAGCCCTCCCACTGGGCCCATTTTATCCAGCATCTTTACCCAGCTGAACTTCAAGGTCGCTTGGCCCTAGAGGCTGCCCGGGAATGACTTCAAGCATTCCGGACTTGATTCTAGACACAAGGTAAGCGTTAAGAGGAACCACGGGAGGGCTAAGGGGGACAGCAGGGAGGCAGGTACCTTGAGGTTGGAGAGCTGTCCGAAGCTCTTGCTACACACATTGCACTCGTACAGGATTTTGCCATTCTTTTTCTTCAGTGGGTAAGGAAGGGCTGTGGTGCCGGCCCGGGCAGGTGGTGGGGCTTGCTTTCCTGCAGCCACCAGGCCAGCTTGTGCGAGCCCTGGGTTGGTAGGGAAAGCTCTGAAGCCTAGATACCCAGCCTGTGAGGGCGGGGCCTGGCCAGAGGCTTGGAAGGCCCCTGGGTAGAGAAGCAGGGTCTCCCCCAGAGCACTGTGATGCCCCGGCTCATTGGTTGTCATCAGCAAGCTGAGTGCAGCTGTGGTGGGGTAGGGGGTGTCTTTGGGCACCAGGAAGATGTAGGGATGTTGGACAGCAGATAGAGGCCTGTGGGTGGGCAGGTATCGTGGAGGCAAGAGAAGTGGGTACTCAGGATAGAAATGATGGAGGTGAAATGGGAGCTCCTTGGAGATAGGGGTTGGAGGGGGACAGGAACAGAAAGCCAAAGGGCTAAGGGTCCCTCTTTTCAGCCTGGGGGCTGGGGAGCGGTTGTTGTGAGGAGGGAAGGAGGGGCAGGGGGCTCCGTGGCTTGCTCTTTCCTCCTGGCTCTCCATCTTGTCCCTGCTTGGAGAGTGCTTGGCTGTGCGTTTGTCATTATCGCTGGGGCTGGCATGCCGCGCTGGCAGCTGGTACACTGAGCAGGAAAAGGAAAACAGTTTGGCCGCCACAGCCTCGGGTGAAAGTCCATCTCCCCTACAAAATTGCCCCACTGAGCCCTAAGATCTCAGAAGGCTGAGATCTGAGCATTGCCCTCTGAAGCCAGCCAGGGCAGAAAAGGCCATGAGACTCCAAATAATCAGCAAAAAAGCCAGAAGAAGAGCTGTGACTCAAGTGGTAGAGCACTAACCTTGAGCAAAACAGCTCAGAGACAGCACCTAGAACATGAGTTCAAGTCTCAGCACTGGCACACCGCGCGCGCACACACACACACACACACACACACACACACACCAAAGATTTTTTTTTTTTGGCCAGTCCTGGAGCTTGAACTCAGCGCCTGGGCTCTGTCCCTGAGCTTCTTTTGCTCAAGGCTAGCACTCTACAACTTGATTCATAGCACCACTTCTGGCTTTTTCTGTTTATATGGTACTAAGGAATTGAACGTAGGGATTCATGCATGCTAGGCAAGCACTCAACCACTAAGCCACATTCCCAGCCCTGATATTTTTCTTTTTAGTATTTTTTTTTCTTCGCTTGTTTTTGCATTGCTGAGGATTAAACTCATCATCTGGCTCATTCTTTTTTTTTTTTTTTTGCTAGTGCTGGGGCTTGAACTCAGGGCCTGAGCATTGTCCTTGAGCTTATTTTGCTCAAGGCTAGCACTCTACCATTTGAGCCACATCACTACTTCCAGCTTTTTGCTATGATTAATTAAAGATAAGAGTCTCACAGACTTTCACGCCTGGGCTCCCTTTGAACCACAATCCTCAGATCTCAGCCTCCTAAATAGTTAGGATTACAGGCACCCAGCTTTTTTAAAAATAATATTAGAATTTGAACTCAGAGCCCCATGATTGCTTAGGGAAATAAGTGCCTTCCCACTTCAGCCATGTCCCCAGCCCTTTTTGCTTTTAGTTTGGCTTTTAGACTGGATTCTGAGTTTTTGCCAAGACCAGCCTTGGGATCCTCTTGCCTTTACCTCCCAAGTAACTGGGATTATAGGCATGCACCATTATGTTCCACAAGCACACATTGCAGATGAAGGAACAGGCCTCAAACTATTAAACAGAGAGGACAGAACCATGACTCTAAGTCCAGTTCCCTGACTCTCAGTCCATTGCTCTTAGATTCTTCCAGCCCAAACATTCTAGGCAAAGCTTATCTCCATCTTCAATGACTGTATATATTTGCTCTGGTTCCCATTTGCCAGAAAGCCACTATCACCTCCTTGAAAGGCCCCAGCATCCTCAGGCCAGAACTTAAAGTCAAAGCAGAAATAAGGTGAGCCTTGAACTCTGTCCTCACTAGAGATACTGAGTCACTTCCTCCACTCTGGAACCTTAACTGTGCCCTTCCAACCCTCTGCCCATTGAACACATCCAGCCCCATGCCCTGGGCTTACTCATGCCTGAGGCATCCTCTGGGAGATCCTTCTGGGTTGCACCCAGTGGTGCTGGCTGCAGAGAGCACAGGATTGGATCCAGGGCCTGGGGATAGGTCAGCAGGTCAGACCTGGCACAGGATGGGCCATGAGCATCCTCTGTGTCTGGAAGTGGTCTGCAGGCGGAGAAGACCTGGAGAGCAGGTCAAAGTGCTTAGGAACTGGAACATGTGGGTCTCTTAAATGGTCCTATCCCTAGTTTGGTTTCCAAAGGGGAGAAGCTAAGACATGACCACACACTCTGTCACTATGTCTGTCACTCACATGGCTTCCCTTCCCTCATCCAAGGTTTATTTTGTTCTCCCTCACTCTGGGGCTGCATTCCCCCTACACACACACACACACACTCACACACACACACACACACACACACACACACACACAGAACTTACCTTGTTTCTTCTTTCAACCCTACTCCTGATCACCCAGGTTTACTCCTGATCCTGATCCTGGTCCTCAGCATATATCTCAGACCACCAACTGGGTGGTTGTGTGTGTGTGTATGTGTGTGTGTTTGTGTGTGTGTGTGTGTGTGTACATGTGCCAATACTGAGGCTTGAACTCAGGGCCTTTCCCTTATCTTTTTCACTCAAGCCTGGTGTTCTACCACTTAAGTCACAATTCCCCTTCCTACTTTTTGGTGCTTAGATGGAAATAAGGGTGTCATAGATTTTACTGCTCAGGCTGGCTTTGAACTTTGATCCTCAGCAGGATCTTATCCTGAGCAGATAGGATTATAGGCATGAGCCACCAGTGCCTGGCTTAGTGTGTTGTATTTTGAACAGATATAAAGTAAACTTGGGGGGAATCTGCACCCAAGTCTGTCAACCCCACAGGATGCCAGCTTCTCACTTAAAGTCTAATGCTGTGATCATACCAGCCAAGTCTTCTGCATGACCAATACTGGGTCTTAAATTGGGGCCCTCTAGTTCTCACTTGGCTTTTTCTGCTCAAAGCTGACACTCGAGTACTTGAGCCACAGCTCTACTTCTGGCTCTTTGGTGATTAATTGGAGATAAGAGTTTCCTACTTTTCTGGCCTGAATGGCTTTGAACTATGATCCTCATATCTCAGCCTCCTGAATAGCTAGGATTACAAGCATGAGTCTCTGATGCTCTATAACCTCTCTCTCTGGAGTTCACAAGAGAGTCTGCCCCTGGGACACAGAGACAGCATCTTTCAAGGCATATCCCCATGATGTACCTGTGGTAGGCAACGTTCTGAGCCACGGAGATGGGGACCCAGCTTACTCCTCCTAACACCACCTCCTTCCATGTGAAGACTACTCTCAAAGAGAAGGCTGGACCCCACCCTACCTGGTCCCCCATAGAGCTGGAAGTCTAGGCTGGGGAACAGGAATCCCTCATGGCAACAACCCAGTTGAATAAGTGGTTTTCCCTTTATTCCCCATTACTTGCTGAGAAGATGTATGCATCAAGGTGAGCTGTGAAGATCCTCCAGGGAAGAGCTGGGGTTCTTGGACTTGCTCTCCTACTAACATGCTGTGTGACCACGAGCAGGTCACTTTCCCGGTTGGCCTCAGTTTCCCTATCTGAAAAACATAGGGTTGGTTACTGTGAAAGGACAATGATCTAGTCCTGCCAGATTCAGGAAGGGGACTAAGTGGAGACTGACCAATCAGAGGTAAGTAGGAGGAGAGGTGGCCTAAGAGCACCAGAAGGTCCTCATGGAAGCTCTGAGAAACATTCCAGATTCTTCAGGGCTATAAGGAATTGAGAAGCCATCCTTTCCATGAGGAGGATCCACACCATCTAAGCTCACCCAGATGGCTTTCTTGGGTAGCTAAGGAAACTTCAGGCCAGGCATCAGTGGCGCTCACCTGTAATCCTCGCTACTCAGAAGGCTACGATCTGAGGATCACAGTTGGAAGCCAGCCTGGGCAGAAAATTGCCTATGAGCCTCTTATCTCCAATTAACCACTGAAAAACCAGAAGTGGTACTGTGGCTCAAAGTAGTAGAGCCCTAGCCTTGAGCAAAAGAACTCCGACACAGCATCCAGGCTCTGAGTTCAAGCCTTTCAACTGACAAAAAAGAAAAAGAAAAGAAGAAAGAAACTTCAGGGCCATATCCAGACAGTCCCAGGTTCCATCCTCACCAGTAAGGAAGCCTGGGAGGGAGAGAGAGCTGATAGTCCCCTGAACAGCCTGACAGGAAGACGCTCTGCCCCAGTGCTCAGCTGGGTCAGCACCCTGCATCTCTGCCATCTTCATCTGAGGCCACCCAGCACGGGAACCATCTCAAGTGGTCAAATGCCCCAAATCACCATCCCCTTCTTCTTGACCCCCAGATACCCTAAAACCTTCACTTCAATGGCTCAGTCTACCAAAACCCTCACTCCCCAACCCTACCTTGGTCTGAAGGTGGCCTGTGCTGAGATCTTCTCTGGCTGCACAGCAGCCTTCTCTAGCTGGGGGAGGAAGGAAAGTGGGCAGACAGACAGGTGTGTGGGGCTGAGGCCCCAGTCAGTGTGAAAGATAACAAGAAGGTGTTACATTTGAAAGTTCCCTTAAATAGGAAGGGGGGCAGGCAGGCCTAGGGGGCTTGTGAGATCCGATTGGGGGAGCCCTCCCCCAGCCATTCCCTCCCCCCCCCCAGCTCCATGGGACAGTTGCTGGTTTGGGAACTAGCATTTAAGGGTGTGTGCATGTGGGGGGGGGTGGGGGGGTATCTTGGTTCTCTGAGCAGGAAAGGGACAGAGTAGGGTTCCAAGACTGAAGTTGAGGGGTCTTTGTGGGGATGAGTGATAACGGAGACAGAAGCAGGAAGTAACAGCAGTGATGGTGACAGGCAAGAACAGGCAACATGGTGACAGAAGAGGCAGAAAGGGTTGTCAGCAGGAATAAGAACAGGCAGAGGGCTAGGAATGTGGCTCAATGGTAGAGTGCTTGCCTAGCATGCATGAAGCCCTGAGTTTGATTCCTCAGTACCTCATAAATAGAAAACGCTGGAGGGACTGGGAAGGTGGCTCAGTGGTAGAGTGCTTGCCTTGCATGCATGAGGCCCTGGGTTCAATTCCTCAGTATCATATAACCAGACAAAGCCGGAAGTGGCGCTGTGGCTCAAGGGGTAGAGAGCTAGCCTTGAGCTGAAGAGCTGAGGGACAGCGCCCAGGCCCAGAGTTTAGGCCCCACGACCCACAAAAAAAAAAAAAATGGTACTGTGGCTCAAGTGGTAGAGTGTTAGCTTTGAGCAAAAGCTCAGCAATAGTGCCCAGGCCCTGAGGACTGGCCAAAAAAAAAGAACAAGCAGAGTCAGGCACCTATAGTTTATGCCTTTGATCCTTGCTACTCAGGAGACTGGGATCTGAGGATTATGGTTTGAAGCCAACTGGGGGAAGGAAGGTCTGAGACTTTCCAGGAGAAATGGCTTAAATAGTAGAGCACTATCTTTGAGCAAAAAAGCTAAGGGAAGCTGGGTGATGGTGGCTCACACCTGTAATCCTAGCTACTCAGGAAGCTGAGATCTGAGGATCACAGTTTGAAGCCAGCCAGGGCAGGAAAGCCAGTGAGACTGTTTTTCTCCAATTAAACAACAGAAAAGGCTGTGGCTCTAGTGGGACAGTGCTAGCCTTTAGCAAAAGGAGCTCTAGGAGGGCATCCAGGCTCTGAGTTCAAGTGCTAGGGCTGGCAAAAAAAAAAAAAGCTAAGGGACCCAGGCCCTGAGTTCAAGCCCTACTACTAGCACACACACACACACACACACACACATGCACACACACACACACACACACACACGCACACACACACACAGAGGCAAAGACAAGAAGCAGCAGTATAGAAGGATATGGGATAAAACAAAACAGAGCAGGAAACTAGCCTCAGGACACAGAGGCCCAGACACAGCCACACATCTTTCTCCTCCTTGTCTTCTCTCAGGTGTCCTGACGCTAAGAAATTCTCTCCCAGAATCCATCTAAAAAGCTGCATCTTCCAGAGGGCAAGAGATCAAAGACATAGGAGAAAGGGTATAAGATTGTACAAGGTGGGGCTGGGAAGGTGGCTCAGTGGTAGAACACTTGCCTTGCATGCCTGAGGCCCTTGGTTCGATTCCTCAGCACCACATAAGCAGAAAAAAAGCCGGAAGTGGTGCTATGGCTCAAGTGGTAGAGCGCTAGCCTTGAGTTGAAGAGCTGAGGGACAGCACTCAGGCCCAGAATTCACACCCCATGACCGGACCCAAAAAAAAAAAAAAGATTGCACAAGATATGAAAAAGGGGTCTCATAGGCCAAAATACCGCTTTTTTTTGCCGGGCACTGGTGGCTCATGCCTAAACTCCTAGCTACTCAGGATGCTGAGATCTGAGAACTGGTTGAAACTTGGGTTGAAAGCCAACCCAAGCAGAAAAGTGTTATGGAGCTGTGCTTCAACCTTGAGCAAACAAGCCAAGCAAGATCACAAGGGTCCCAGTTCAAGCCCCAGTAATACACACACACACACACACACACATACACACAGTGGCTCTTTTTGGAAAGGATTTGAACTCAAGGCCTTGTTTTTGCTAGTAAAACATTCTGCCATTTGAGTCATGTTTTCAGCCCTTTTTGTTTTATATTATTTTCTAGATAAGGTCTCATGTTTTGGGGGTTTGTTGTTGTTGTTTACAAGACTAGCATTCTTCTACTTATGGTCTCCCAAGTAGCTGGGACCACATGTGCGTATCACACAGCTTGTTGGATGAGATGGGGTCTTGACAAGTTTTTGCCCAGGCTGACTTTGAACTGCAAGCTCACTGATCTCTACCTTTGGAATAGCTGAATAGCTGAGCCACCATATTAGGCCTTTTTTTTTTTTTTGTCAGTTATGGGGCTTGAATTCTGGGCCTGGACGCTGTCCCTCAGCTCTTCAGCTCAAGGCGAGTGCTCTACCACAGTGACACTTACAGTTTTCTGGTGGTTCATTGAAGATAAGAGTCTCACAGACTTTCCTGCCTGGGCTGGCTTCGAACTGCAGTTCTCAGATCTCAGCCTCCTGAGTAGCTAGGATTATAGGTGTGACTCTAGAAGTGACTTTGTCAATGGAGCAATTTCATTATTTCCATGAGCACGAGGTGGTGTGTCACTCCGGGGCCTCACCCAAGTTCTTGAGTGTCTGAGCCACATGTTTTAAGTCTGGCCCAAAGGGACACAGTGTCAATTAGTCATCAGCCTCCACCCAGCCATACTGCCCAGGTGACATCTCAGACTAGCTGCCATGGTTACAGGGCATTCCTTGGTGTTTCCCTGCCAGCTCAGGCCTGAGGCTGGTACTCACTGCCACCGTAGCCTCCATCACTTCCTGTGATGACCATTTACCACTTAGCTGATGGCTACCCGTCTGTGAGCCTGTCAGGTACAGGGAGCGCTATATCCTCACTTTAGTTTCCTGAGTCAAGAAGGTTTTCTGGATGGAGAGAAAGGACCTCCCACTATAAATCCTAATGGTCAGGACCTAATTCGAACCTGCCTTCTCCAACACAGTGTACGGCAGGCAGGAACCAGGCCAGGCGGACGCCCCACCCCCACTGTGGAGTCCAAGCCACTGGCCCTGCCGAGGTAGGTCCCTGGAGGCACCACTCAGTGAATGGGGAGGTTCCATATCTGGCTTCTGAATTTCAAACCAGGTTAGTGGAGGAAAGAAAAGCATTTAGGGTGCGTGCTGATAGCTACTCAGGAGGCTGAGATCTGAGGATCACAGTTCAAAGCTGGCCCAGGCAGGAAAGGCCATGAGTCTTTTATCTTCAATTAACCAAATAACAGAAAAAGAAGAAGACAGGGGGTTAGGGGAAGCTGTCAAAGTCTCTGCTCAGCTGGTTTTGGAGAATGCTTCTTAGAAGTGGTCCTAGCTGAGCACAATATGTCCACCTCCCCCTATCTCTCTGTTTGTCTGTGTGTCTTTCAGTCCCTCTTTCTCTCTCTCTCTCAGTATTGGATTTGGATTTGAATTTAGGGCCTCGTACTTTCTCGCACTGCCAGACCTTTTTGATTTAGTTACTCTTCAAATGATAAATATTTCGTTTTATACCTTGAGCCAGCCTGCGCTGCAATCCTCCTGTTTGTTCTTCCCACAAAGCTGGGATCAAAGATATAAGTCACCATGCCCAGTTCTTTTGTGTGTGCATGTGCTGGTCCTGGGGCTTGAACTCAGGGCCTGGGCTCTGTCAATGAGCTGCTTTTGCTCAAGGCTAGCACTCTACCACTTGAGCCACAGTGCCTCTTCCAGCTTTTTGGGTAGTTTGGTGGTACTAAGAGTCTCACAAACTTTCCTGCCCCAGGCTGGCTTCACAATCCTCAGATCTCAGCTATCTGAGTAGCAAAGATTACAGACCTGACCCAACAACGTTCAGCTCTCAGGACCAAATTTTTTATTGGTTGAGATGCATTTTTTCTTTTTGCCCAGGATAACTTCCAACCATAATCCTCTAGAACTCTGCTTCCTGCGTAGCTAGGATTCCAGGCATGAGCCATCATACCCAGTCCCAGCCTCTGTTGTCCATTCTCCACGCCTGGATCTCTAGCCTTCTCATTACTCATTCTTACTACATCGTTGTTGTTGTTTTTCCCACCAGTACTGGGGCTTGAACTCACAACCTGGGCACTGTCCCTGAGCTTCATTTGCTCAAGGCTAGCATTCTACCACTTGATTCCTAGCACCACTTCTGGCTTTTCTATTTATGTGGCACTGAGGAATTGAACCCAGAGCTTCATGCCTACTAGGCAAGTACTCTACCACTAAGCCACATACCCAGCCCTTCTCCTAACGTCTTTTTTTTTTGTCTGTCATGGGTCTTGAACTCTGGGCCTGGGCGCTGTCCCTCAGCTCTTCAGCTCATGGCGAGCGCTCTACCTCTTGAGCCACGGCAGCACTTCCAGTTTTCTGGTGGTTTATTGGAAATAAGAGTCTCACAGACCTTCCTGCCTGAGCTGGCTTTGAACTGCGATCCTCAGATCTCAGCCTCCTGAGTAGATAGGGTTCCAGGCATGAGCCACCAGTGCCTAGCTCCTTCTACACTTGTAGATAAATTCCTTTTGTGCTTCAGTTCTTCAGTAGCTTCAATAACTTATAACCAAGTATTTCTTGTTTTCCATGGCCAGAGTGGACAATGAAGGAACAGGACACAGGCTGGAAGATCCCACAGATCATAGCTTCCCTTACAAGCGGCTTGCTATGCACCAGACGCGCTGTGCTATGGGCTTCAGGATTAAATGAGCTGCATCTCATTGATCTTCACAGCCAGCCTGTGAGATCACAGCCAGCATGAGAGACAGGGGCCAGAAAGAAGAAACAGCACACCTGGAGCCACCCAGCCAGCAGCTCTTCAGGACCAAACCCTCTCCTGGCAATGTTAGCTCCCCCTCTAACCCCCCCCCCACTTCTGTTTCTCACTCTTTCAAAGTGTCATCCACAGTGTCCAGACAAGCCTTTCCTGCCTTCCCCACACCC